ATATCGACACTCGAGTTTGTGAAGAAAAAAGTTGATGTCGGACGTTATAGCTAACCAGAGAGGTTCTTCGCCTTGCATGAAGCTTACCTATCGACATTTTTATTGAAATTGATGTCTGCGTTGAATGGATATTTCGAGGTTTTCTTGATCCCTCACTTTCTTTCTCCGATTACACGATATTGTGGCTGCTTTTAGGGAACACATTCGCCGATTCAAAACTGTTGTTTTAGTCTCTTTCGGATAATCTTTCCGGGCCTTATTCTCAAATTGCGTAGTAAAATAAAAGTAACGTCGCCCGAGTGTGGCATAAAGCTGTCGAATAAAATTACCACAGGTGTTTAATTGAGTGTATTCAGGATGCGACGACTACAGTTTAATCTCATTCCATCCAGATTCCTGAAACGACCAGATCTAACGAATAATCATTGTAACAAAGATATTAGGACATATTGTTTGTGTGTCCAACAAATAGAATACACTTTATGTAGTTCATCCAGAACCGCACAAACTTTGGTATAAACTGAAATGTATCCATTCTGCAAGTTTATAATTTAATTTGAATGTTTGTTAAAGCTTATATTATACGTCAGAAGCATCACCAAGCGAGTTAACACTGAAATAATTATTACTGAAAATATTATTATAAACAGTAATATAATATAGACTTAAAGATTTTGCAACTTTGCGAAATGAGAAAACTTTCCTGCTTCACTTGTGTACTCGTGCAAACAATATTGGACGCTAGTTAATTTTAGTGTAATACCAGATTACTTCCCGAATACATTTACATTCCACAAAATATAAACTTTTAAATTACTAATATCAAGCATTTATGCCACTGCATTTTCGTAATTAAATAAGGACTTGCAAAGCTAATTATATCTCACCAAAGAGAAAATTTATTACATAAAATGTGTACTCTGAATACAAATATGAAGAAGCTTTAACCAAGCAAACACAACTTTGTCTCAAATAAGCGAAATGTGACATAAAATTTTAATTTATCAATTTTCTTTAATGTGGGGACATAAATCAATAGAAATAGCAGAGATCAGGTTATAAATAGCGACCTTTTCCTCTCAAACTTTTTTTAATCAAAGTGAAATTTCCGGAAAGAATCTTCTTGTGTGTACTTATCTGGCACGCTATCGAGAAGTAATCTTATTTCTTGATTCAGATATACCGAAAACGTAGTAGAGGGCGACATATTATATTACTATTTGAAACTTGTCTTTCCAGCAGGCTGACAACTTCCCATGATGTTATTAAAAAATCTCATATTCAAAGTTTGAGTAGACAAGAACGAAGCGGAAAACTGTCCAAGTTTCGAGGGTTGGGCAAACTCCGGACCTGGCACTGTCTTTATCTTTTATTTGGAAAGTTGCCTCATATCTCTCCTGTTTATGTCCGAGTAGCCCCTGTCTGTGTTTTATAGCGCGCGAATTGTCACAGCTTACCCAAGGTTATTGATATGCGCTGCATACACAAACAACGAGGACACTCGAAGTAAAAAATCGCGGAAATCGTCTGATATAAAACACCTCCTCACATTTATCAAATTTTTGGGGCGACAAGTTGTTTCAGCGTCTTGAAGTCGAGAAAAATAAACTAAGATGTCATAGTCGATGTAGTTGGAGAAGCGACACATGTGCTGCACCAGCTTGAACATATTTCATAGAGGACGGTGACAAGTGACTGAAGCCGGAGCCCGAATGGACACAGCCCTCCTAATTTGACCAATTCTGAAACCGCTGACTAAGAGAATTGATATTGAAGAGACTAGAGATGGCTGCTGTTCGACACAACCTCGATACCAAGGGTTTCATAAGTTTTATATTTTAACCCGAAACAGAAATAACAAATAACTAACCAAGTTGTTAAACAAAATATCATTAACTCATTGTAAGTCAATATTGCCCTTTTTATTTTGTTGGATCGAGGAAAAAGCAATATTCTTTTGACTTATTGTTTGCTAATATCAGTCCAGTCTGAACCAATATTTGTCTGCGGCTGCACGCGGATGCAGTTAATAAAACGTTCAAATATTTCTTCAAGGGGTTGCAGCGCGAATTCCACATATTATTAATTGTTTTTAGTCGGCACCTTCCCTGCAAGCAAATTGAGCTTTAAGGGGTTGAAGGAATGCGACGATTTAATATCAGGTGGTAGGGATATAGTGTAGGTGTGTGTAGTGGTAGTAATGAGTAAATACCGGGGTGTCCCCTATTATGCCAGGTATGCGGGTTGCTATGCGATCTTTTGTCGGTTCTTTCGCTCGTTTATTGGTTGTGAATTGCGATTTAATAAAGAGCTTGCGGGGGCGGCGACAAAAACAATTGTGAAACGTATAGAAAGAAACACAAGATAAATTGATGTTTATTTTGGAAAATTTTGCCAGAGAGGAAAAAATTATTGTTTCCTTGACTTTGTCATTTAAATGCTTTCCGGCGGAGGCGCGGGGAAACTGCGAACTTTTATGATAGTTGGGAAATTTATTGTAAATATCTGTATTATCGGCAGCATTTTTTACTGTAATATGTAAGGATCCGACCACCGACAGTTGGTAATATACGATTTTATTATACTAATGCATGAGGGGCGAGAGGATGTAACGATGAACTTGACATTTATTACCAATAAGGATTGATATATTTTGCAGGGATAGAATCCTACTCTTATTCTGTTTTATATCTTGAATATTTATTTACGCTAATTTGCCAAATGATCCCTAACAACTCACAAGAACATTTTTATGCTTCCAGAATAAACATGGCAGTGAATTAGTTCCTAGTTTTCAACAAATTAACTTTTTGAAGATATTTGATGTGGTTCGATCTAGAAACGGAAGGCAGAAGACACTCGGAAATAATTAGAACCCCACAGGCGATCGTTTCCGGTCTCTTCTGCCTATTAACAAGCGACGCCTATAACCAGCATCCTTACTTGTGAAGTTATGAAACCTAAGTTAAAGTTCATTGCGAGTCTCAGAACTAAGCAGTTGAAGCGAAACGAAATACACGTTTGAAGTAAATTAACCTTCAAGATTGAAATAATACGATTTCAGTTACATTTTCGATACAAGCAAAACTGAACAATCACAACTCAATTCAACTAACGTTTATACGAGGAGGAAAATTGAAAAATGGAATATCTTCATATAACATCAGGTAATTTTGTATGATTGGAAATTGTTCTTGAAATTGAAAGTACAATTTGCAGTTTTTTTATTTTAACTTCTAGATACAATAAATTGTACACACATGTTTATACAAAAACAGGAAATGTGCTAAGTTGTGACTTATCAGATTTGTTTAGTGTACCTACTTCTGGGTACTTTTAGGGCTAACGTGATGCAGAGTGCATTAGAAAAGCATTCATTTAATCTGAGATATTAGGGTTCCATGTTTGTTAATGTTAAGAAAACCACAAATGTAGCAAAATTGTCACAGCGATTCAAACAAGCACTACAACAAAAATGTATATTTTTATGCAGTTTTTTTACGCATTAATTTCTTTTTGCAAATTTATGTTACTTTTTTTCTTTTTTTCTTTAGAGCTACGTTAGCACAAATTATACCAAAATGTATTATGAACATGGGAGTACATATCAATTGTTATAACAACTTTTTGTATAATTTTTGCAAATTCACAACAACTAATTTGCAGTCTCCGAAAATTATTTTCAAAGCTGTTGTAAAATGCAAACTGCATTAAAGTTAATTAAAAAATTATCTTACGTTAATTACGCCTTTAAGCCCTTGAAAACCCATAAAAAGTTAATTCTCTGCATTCTACAAACGACTTGAAAAATTCCTGTTTATTTATGCCCACTGCAAAAGCTGAGCGGAAGCAAATATTTTTGCATCTTAAACTTAATATACGTCCGCATAAAACACATAAATTTCATCAAAATTGGTTTATAAATAAAAAAGTTACGTTCATGTGAAAAAGGTTGTAAATTTTTTACATACGATGTGTGCTAGTTTACTGATGCTATCGATTTGGTGTAATAAATTCTTTGAGCATGCCATGCGTTACCTGCCATAATTGCTACGAAAAAACTAAATTTTATTGTTTTCGTGGCGAGAAATTCTCGTCTTCGATTTCCGTATATTGTGCAAAGATATTCAGGAAATTTTCGTCATATCCTACAGGATATTTATCCTTATCTTGCGTTGATGGGCGAAATACTTTGCAGAGCTCGACAATTTATGAGAGAATTCAACATGTTGATCCACACATTAATTTTTTTCTTAATATTCGTGAGTTTTTCTGATTTCCCTATCTTGAGACTGCGTGTGGGGCTTTATTGTCATTTCCATTATTTTTTCCTTTCTTGAAGCCTGTTTTTTCTATTATTCTCTGAGCTAATGACAATAATTTCCTCTTTTTCAGCACCGACGATAGTTCCAATAACCGGTTGTCTGTATCGATTTGCAGTGTTACTGGCATTCAGAGACGTCTTCTTTCTCTGCTTAACTTTTTTTCGAGTTAATGAGGGAACGGTGTGAGCGGTTCGCTTGCTCGAATCGTTGGAGTTCCGTTCGAGTGCAGTCTAGGCTTTTATTAAATTGTCTCTGCTTGATTATATCTTTTCCAACTTCTTCAGCACATTTGCAGTTGATTTTATTAATGCATCTACCGATTTGTAGCTTTTTAACGGCGTACCTGTTAACCCCCAACATCCTGGCTAATAATTACAGGAACCGGAAGCTCGAAAGACGAGCCACAACTCCTTCGAGACTGACTTCCGGTTGGTAGGGAATGTCTTATGTATGCAAAAGTCGTAGCATTATTGCAAATTTCAGCCGGTTGGAGGTACAAGAACGTAAAAAGACGTGGCTGAACCAATAAACTAACTAATAAAAGTTCCGAAGTGAAATCATAGAAAAGACTCAAATTGCCTTCTTGTTTACTCTTTTTTATACTTTAATAAATATTTATTCCTTAGTTCCGCTCTCAAATCTTAACTTGCCAAACACAGACTAAGTAAAAAAACGCACGATTTTAGCAGACTTTATTTAACTAAATTTCACTTGAACTGCGTACATTTTTCATTAACTCGGCTAATTTCATCTTGTCTGTGTAACCTTCAAATCTTTCAGCATCCGAATTTTTCATCATGTCTTCAATAATTCGCAACAAATGCAATTCTTCTTCCACTTTCTGCAACTGCTCACTCCTCCATTGAACTAAAGTTGTTTCTAACATCTTTTTAGGCATAAGTTTGAATTTTGAGAGGTCAAAATGTTTTGTCCGGATTTCCTGTAAGAAATACTTAGAAACAAATTAAACCAAACTGTTTTACAGACTCTTTTAATTTTCCTGACGTCCGAGCAATCGCCACACGAGGAACCGCAAACCGAAGAACTTTCAGACATTTTTCTTATATCAACTTAGAATTTTGAAAATAATTTGACACTTACAAATTTTGACTTCTATGGTTACTAGTGCTAATAAATCATGCCGGATGTTGTATAAATGAAAGCGTGTCCATTTTTGTTCGCAATATGGTGTTTCCAAAGACAGTTAAGTACGGAAATCAATCATTTTGCCAGGATAATCTCGAGGATGGCGCTTCTTGTTGGTCTCGTCTAGACATCGGATTGATCCGAACTGACATCCTGGATAAAATATAAGATCAAATCTACGAGTATGTATAGTGCTGTATTGCTCAATTTCATCTCAAGATTACAAGTTAAAAGGGCTGAAATGCCCGATGATTTATGCAAATCGTTTTTTATTTGTTTTTGGCTGCTGGTACGTAATTTAAGTTTAGCCCGAATACGTGGTGCGTAATTGATATTATGCCGCTAGGTCTCTGCTTCCGACGAAGTAACTTTATTAGCGTTACCTTATGACACAGAGCAACATCAAACCGTTGCCCTTTTCGTACCAACTTCTTATTAAAATATTATGTTACTAATGCACACGGCACATAATACATTTAGCCAGTTATTTAACACTTTATGTTGAAATAGTTCGAGCAAACTTGTAATAGATTCAAATTAAATTGGAGGTTTTGAAGTTTTTCAAACTGGGAAAATTGTAAGTGCAAAGTTACAAATGCACGCTGCTGTTAATTTACTCGGTTGCTGGGACATTATTTAGTTGTCTCTTGTCGGAGATAAATGCAGCTCTTGTTTGTCGCAAAAAAATGGAAACAACTTATTAACAAGCACGACACGAGTTGAAATTTTGTTAGGATTTAAAACGACAACATATACGCTCATAAACCCAGAGAAGTTTCTCTATCAAAGGACCAGAACAAATAAACTCAAAAGAACAAATGTCTACGATCGGTTGTAATTACAGCTGGCCTTCGAAATCAATCCATTTGGAGGTTTTAAATATTTTATTTGGTAGTGTTGGTGAAATGTTTCGTTCGGCTGAAAGGAGGAAAATTTCTATCTAGTTTCCGACGATAAATAGAAATTATAACAGTGGAAACAAATGGAAGCTCTGTCCAAGCTTATTGCCACTAAATACTAATTAGAGTCCGACTCAGTGAAAACATACATAAAAGTGCGACTTTGTAAAATATAACACCTTGCAACGTAATAAAAATAATAAACAAAAAGAAAGTGGCTAAATAATACACAACGTAAATTCTAGAGGAATATCCTGCAAAGCACGGTGCCTTATTTAATACAAGTCAGTGCGTATTCTAATATATTTGGGCCGTGACGTTTTCGCTACACGTCGCCACCATCCGTTTTTATTACGGCAGTTTTTCATAAAAGTGGAAGAAAGAAAGAACAAGTTCCATTTTTAGACGGTGGAAAGGAAAGCGAAGAAGCTGCGATTCTCACGCAATATACTGGAGTTGTCAACTGTGTTTATAAAGGAAACAGATTTTTCTTGTTTTTCCTTCCTTTAATCTACTTCATACATGCAAAGCTTTTTCTCCACATGTACTTACGCGCGAGATCTTTTGTGCAAAAGCGAGACATTTCGTGTTGTTATTAGGGGACAATCAACAGACTCATCACTTTTCAATAAACTGAATTGTCCTCTATCAAACATTACAAAGGAGAATTACAGGCTGTTTCGGCTAAACCCCACATTAGAAGTATTAAGAGTTCTAGCTGTGATAGTTATCTAAAAATTTAACTATAGCCATAATCGTTTATATACTGTTCAATGAAAATATTTTCAAGATGGCAGCACTTCCAGTTACACCGGAAATGGGTATTAACTTTGTTACCTTAAATAGAAAATTATGTTCTTTATTGCGTTTTTGGATTACTCAAGTGATTTTGAGAGAGTTCTTATCAGAGTTCCCTACACCTAAATTTATCCGTTTTTAAAATATGTAGACTTTTTTGAACTTCTTTTAATTTGCATCTTTCTCTTCAAAAATCGATAACTCTACCATTTTTAATTATTTTCAAATCGTATTTGGGCATATGAAAAAAAAGGTAAGATCTTTTTTTTTCGTGTATTTGTAATTGGAAAAATAATTAACAAACCACCAAAATTTAATTACGTTTGGGAAACTTCAAATACTTTTTTTTCACAATGGAAGAAATTCATTACTATCCATGGTAGTTTTTGCATAGTTTGCAATAAAAATATTTCTCAGTAAAAAAACCGCCAAGTTTTTTTCACAATTGTGTTATTCTTTTCGTAACTACAAATTAAATTTTATGAATCTAAATTTGATTAACTTTGATATTCAATTTTTTTTTCTTATTTCTATAACAACCTACGCTGATGTAGCTATAATGAATTTTTCACAATATCAAAAGAAGTTATTATAAGTTGAAAACTGTCAAACATAGGTATAGGGAATGTTAATACAGATCGAAGCAGAACTAAATTCTCTTCTTTTTAGTGAAGAAAAAATTGGGATGTTTCATTTAGAAAAATTGGGTTAAGAGTATTTGAAGTGTCTTAAACGTAACCTTACATTTTGGCGGTTTGTTAATTATTTTTCTAATTATGAATACACCAAAGGAAAGATCTAACCTTTCTTTCTCGTATACCCGAATACTGTTTCAAGATAATAAAAAATGGTAGAGTCATCGATTTTTGATTAGGAAGATTCAAATCCAAAAAAAATTAAAAAAGGTCTAAATATTTCGAAAACGGTTAAAATTAGGTATAGAGAAAGCTAATGAAAACGCTTTCAAAATTACTTGAGTTATTCAAAAACGCAATAAAATTTCACAATATCAATGAAGTTATTATAACTTAAAAACTGTCAAAAATAGGTATAGGAAATGTTAAGATCGAAGCAGAACTAAATTCTCCTCTATTTAGTGAAGAAAAAATTGGGGTGTTCCATTTGAAAAAATTCAGTTACGGGTATTTGATGTGTCCTAAACGTTACCTTACATTTTGGCGGTTTGTTAATTATTTTTCCAATTATGAATACACCAAATATATACCCAAATACTGTTTCAACATAATAAAAATTGTTATCGATTTTTGAATGGGAAGATTCAAATCCAAAAAAAATTAAAAAGGTCTAAATATTTCCAAAACGATTAAACTTAGGTATAAGGAAAGCTAATGAAAACGCTTTCAAAATTACTTGAGTTATTCAAAAACGCAATAAAAAACATACTTCTCTGTTTAAAATAACAAAGTTGATTTGAGCAGAACCTAACCGATTATGGCTATAAACAAAATTCTAGATAAAGAACTCCCAATACTTCTAATGTGGGGTTTAGCCGGAACAGCCTGTATAGCTAAATAATTCGTAATATATCGGCCGAAAACAGAGGACAATGTGAGTCCTTGGAGAACGAGCAAAATGGGTCCGAGGGGCTGCCAGTATTACGGCGGACTTTGGCCGGATTAGGGGTTGAATATTTGATAGGGCCCTTTCCTGAGGTTACACAGAGACGGTGTATAAGCTTCCAGATGGACGAAATAAACGCGACATTCTAATAAATTAAACGAATTTTACCAAATCCGGTCCAACTCGGCCAACTTTAATCAATTTCCATACCCCAGAAACACGTCGAAACAAATTTCATCCCGAATTTACTTATGAGGTTACTTTTATATTACACAGAATATTCAGACCTATGGGAATTACGCGTGTTAACGTGCATGCTGCAGCTGAAACAGCATCAGAAAACAGGACTTGGTTTATAAAAGTGGTACATAGTGCTGCCCTGGATGCAGCGAATCTGATTTACATAGAAGGCTTGAGCGCAGCCTATTTCTATTTGAATTTTAAAATATTTTATCTGTATACACATATTGATGAGAAGAGAAATGCCTTATCTAAATTTTTTTCTTAAATTGGGGCGCATTATAAAAAAATCTGTCTTTGTTGAATTATTTTGCCAATGCAGCGGTAACGCGGATTTATATGAACCAACTTTCAGACTCCAACTTTTACAGCTTATTTCGCTTATACGAATGCCTGAGTAATTAATTTTGTTAAAATTAACTTCGTAATACGGATCAACGAGACTAAAAAGGATTCTACAATCTATACGCAAAAATTTTTCGTTTCAAACGTTTTAAATTATTTAGTTATTAATTAAAGTTGTAAATTACAAGGTATGTAATAAATGTGTTCTCTTCAACTGTTCATAAAGAATATAAATGAAAGCTGCAAGTAATAAAATAAAATTTCTAGCTCTTTAAACTTATTTTTTAGATTTATAATTCATTGCGTTGAGTTCGTCACACGTTTTTCCGCCTCTCTTCGGACTATAAAATATTCAACGCTGCTATACTTATTTATTAACAATGAAATACATTCTGCATCGCGCTATTAAATAAATAATGTTGCATAACGATGATAAGCTTGAAACTGTTATACAACTGAATAAAACACAAATGGAGTGAATTTCTCAACTTGTATTGGTGTATTAAAAGAGCGTTACTATCAAAAATAACATTATTCTTTGACAATGTCAAAATTTACGGGTTTTTTTCCGTGTACCTAAAGAAGTTTTGACAACTGTTTGGCATTTCTCAATATAAAACGTCAGATTATTTTTAATAGATTTGAAACAATTTTAAGCCTTGTTAAGTCTAATTCGAAGAATAAAATGTTGTATTCAACTCGTCATCGTGTAAATCGGTTTATTTATCACCCGTGAATTAAAGCGTCCGATTTACACTCAAACTCTACGAATAAATAACTATTATTGCTCAAACTTGAATCAAATAAGAAAGAAAATTTTCCGAGAGAGCGAGAATTTAATAGGCTGAGATTTTTAAACTATAAAACTCGTGTTGTCTTCAAGCTTTTTGCAACACTAATATTGAATCAAAAATTTTCTAAATTCAAAAATTGTAATAAAAAAGTATGCCAAAAAAAGATCAAAATTGATAAAAAATATGTATCAGCGTATTTTATAGACTCATGAGATACGTTGCTATTGACGACGTACTTTATAGATGAAGCGTATTTTAACGGCAACATAAGAGGTAAGTTTAAATGCATTATAGAAACAGTATAAGTTATTAGTTTTGCAAAAAGA